CAANATTTCAGCAAGAGGAATCTCCATAGGGGATGTTAAAATGTCTCAAAATTACATTAGGAGTTTCAAAAGAGTGAATATTCCCTCCCTTAAAAACACCCGTCCGAGTACTTATCATAGTGAGCTTACAACAGATACGATATTGTGATTTCAGAGAGACTGACCACGCCTAGTACTACCAATGGAGAAACGACCCTTTACACATCTACTGAGGCAACAGAGAGCTCCAAGACAATCAGTGCGGCGAGGACTACTAATAGAGAAACTTCTCCTGATATCACTACTGTGGTAACACAGACATCCACGATAATCACTACAACGAGTACAACGAGTGGTAGCAGTACTGATAACAACCAAACTTCAACCGGCGTAACAGAGAGCTCCAAGACAATCAGTGCGGCGAGGACTACTAATAGAGAAACTTCTCCTGATATCACTACTGTGGTAACACAGACACCCACGATAATCACTACAACGAGTACAACGAGTGGTAGCAGTACTGATAACAACCAATTGTCAACCGGCGTAACAGAGAACTCCAAAGTTGATAAAGAAGGAGATGAAATCAATCCCTACATTATGTTTGGTGGAATTTTAGCTGCTCTGATTGTCATTATCACCGTCTGTATTGGTGTATACTGTTTTCTCAGGTGGGTTAAATCTGTAAACAAAGATGTACCCATGAAGCAAATAAACAAGTTACCTGCAAGAACACTCAAAAGGACTATCTTTAGAGACTTGAACAACAAGTATTTTACCACATTAAACTTAAGATTCATTATAGACTCGAACACACAGCTGTCTACCCATGATATTTAAAATCAGTTTCTAATTTCGTTTCTTTTTTTCTGATAATTTCCGTCTCCATTGTAATCTAACAAGCATTCTTCTGCAGTCGCATTCTAATGCAGCTATTTTTTACCAATCAAATCGTGTCTTGTATGATCTGTCACTTGATAAGGACAAATTGTTTGGACAGTCATACAGAGGCTAACATATTATTCTATATTGACTTTCGCAGAGAAACGAGTCCGTCATAAAACGCTTTGATTTGTTTAAAATAATGTCATTAGAACCCGATTGTGGTAGAAATCTTGTTCGATTAAAGCGGAGAAAACAAAAATGAAAGGAAATTGTTATCTAATTTTAATTGTGTACTAAAAGTTTCGAGATACAGCCACTGAGAAAATATAGTGGACAGTTTTCACATTGACACTGAAGCATAATCTGTCGTTAATCTTTTGCTATTTTCTTTCAGAAATCGCAAGAGACCACAAGAAACACCTACCAATGTGGCATTGTCAAACTGGAAGGAAAATGAAAATGACAACTCACACTACCATAACCTTGACATCCACGATACTGAAATTACCGATGACCACACCTACGAAGAACTTCCGGCGACAAATACGATCGTAAATGAAGTTCACAAGTAAAGTCAAATTTTGACTCAGATATTCCAATCAGTTTTAGTTTTTAGATTCTAGAAAGCAACTTATCTTTATGCTTTTGACATGCCAACTTATATTTATTTTTTGGAGAAATAGGATGTAATGGTTTATGATGTCGACTAATAAATTAGAATAGAATGTTGCATTGTGTGTTCTAATGAAATAGATTATCGTGACGCCATTTGATTCTTATAAGAAGTAGGGCATGATCTAAAAAACAACTCTGACATAAATCGAAATTTGGTTGCTCAATGAAACCAAGCTGTATTTTGAAGAACAGTGGCGTGGTGGCCGGTGGGGCAGATTGGGTGGAGGCACTTGTCATACCAGCGACGGAAAATGAAGGGGCGCCTAATTCTTTAAGTCTACAACTGGCACAGCAGCGCCCCTGACAGGGCATGCTTACTCCCATAGACACTTTCGCTTTTTTTTAGGAAATACATACTCAATTATGATTATGATGGATAACATATTTCTCGAATTTGACGGGGAGATATTTCAGTAAGTTATCTGTATTCCTATGGGTACTAACTGTGCTCCTTTACTTGCTGATATATTTCTTTACTCTTATGAGTCAGAATTTATTCAAAGCCACCAACGCAGTAAACAGCTCCTTCCTTCTATTTTCCGTTACATAGATGACGTTTTATCGCTGAATAACTACGCTTTTGGAGACTATGTAGAGATAATCTACCCAGGAAAATTGCAAATTAAGGACACCACTGATTCTTAGGGCGACCTACTTGGATTTGAGGTGTCCCAGACCTATCCAAGCTACAGATAATAGCTTTGAATTAAATACGAACAATAATTGGAACTTAGGATCTAAAATCTTCTGAAAATATTAGTCTTCTATACGTGAACATAAAAAATGGGCAATGAAACAAAATAATTCATGCACTTACTAGCTATCGGCACTGTCTCAGTGCATTATTTTTGTTTTCATTCTTATTCGTACCGTTGTTAAGCTGATTCGGAGAGCTTCATTCGTGTTGCGTATGAGCAATGACTTTTTCCCCAGCCGCCGCGCCAATTTCTCTCGAAGCGTTTTTCGAAAAGAAAACCCATTTTGAGTGTCAAAAATGTCTTTTAGTGACTTGTTTAGGGTTATGTAGGGTTGAGAGTGACTTATCCTAAGTTAGGATAGGGTCGTTAAGTTAGGATACCTGTAGGACTGTTTTGAGAAAAGGAAGAATCTTAAATTGAGGGTGTCTTAATACTTGTCCCAAGTGCCGCTTCGAGAATACGCAGCCTGGATATTACGTTGATTCCGATAAAAAAACAACCAATAGAAATGGCGTATAATTCTCATAACGAAACTCTTTCAATCACAGGTGGAAAAAATAAGGTGTAAAACTCGGTCGGCTATGTGTGTAAGAGTCATTTCATTCATTACTTGCTTTTCCTTTATCACTGTAATCTGAATAGAACTTAATTACCAATTGTCTGGATATCAGCGTCCACTTCAACATCCAGACTTATTAAACGACTTCCGTCCTTGGTTTTAACCAAGTTTTAATCTGTGGAAGGAAGTTTTCTAGATGATTTGATATGAGATTCTACTTGGAAATGTACCGGGTTGAACTATACCTTTTATGTACTTTGATATGATATGATATGATAAGATATTAGCCGTATTAATATAAATGTAAAACAGTGAAATACCCTTGTCATTTAATTTTGATGTACAGAGCAGTAGAATGTAAACAGTAATTTTTTTGCGTTTGTCAGAAAAACGTAAGAGAAATTCAAATTGCTCAAAAGTTTGGAAATTGGTTGGAAAGCGCAGAATGGAATATCCATAATGGTTATTAAAAAGTAATAACTCTCGAAGAGGAAGCTGACCAAAAAATAATTATAAAATCAGCATTGCAAATTTATAAAAGGCTTTTGAGAACCAAAGTATATCTTACGCAAGACAATGATTATTATATTATATTATATGACCCCCTGAAAAGTCTGTGGCCCCTGCTCGACCCCCTCAAGTAATGTTTACTAGAAACGCCAGTGTTTGTATATGTTGTTGTCAAATAAAAGCTTTGTATAATAAGACAATTGAAATACCTTTGACATAGTGGGCTATACTATGGTTATGTTATTTAAATGCCAGACCTTTAAATAGTTTAACTATGAGAATTAGACGAGTCACATTTTGAATAGCACTAACACTAAAGATAAAGAAGGGTTGGTGAATCCTGGATTATCCAAGGACAGATAACCCGATAAAGAATTCAAAATGAATTTATTGATAACATTGTGTATGTTGGGTCTACTGCTGGTTAAAGTTGAAGGTATGTTACTCTTATATATAACTACAGCAAAAAGGTAAGCGTCACCAGATTGTGAACCATTGTTTTGCAAATGAATGCAATTCACAATCATACTTGATAACAGAGATGTATTTATTGAGACCTAATGTTGAAAACAATATGTATTCGTGAAAAAATCAACAACAGGAAGTGGATGATCGTACATTATATTGTCTTTATAGCCCCAAATGCAAAGTATCTGTTTTTCATCAGTCTTTGAATGTCCTGTTGAGGAATTTGCTGCCACTCCTGATGCAATGCTGCATCTGTTACAGTTTGCACAGGAGGGTCTCTATGACGCACGCGACTTCCCAGAATATACTGAATCAAAGTTAATGGCGCTCACTTTTTGTTATACGTATACTTCAGAATTCTTTTAATTTACAACACATTACATAAGACAGTAACGAAGAACTGGAGGAATCATCGCATATAAAAAAAACAGTTACTATTGTATACATATAATAATATTGTAGCCGGTCCCTGAGTTGGATCTCACTGTTAATATTATCGTGTTAAACAAGATTCTTTTTAATGTATATAACGCTGTTATATTCAAAATCTAAATTGATGTAGAATTAATCAAATTGCTGAATTGAATCAAGAATAAACTGAATGAATTGAACTAGTCTTCACTCACCAAATCTGATGTTGAAAGTCTGGTATCCAATAAACACAGTATTCTGGTCTCACTTACCTTCCCCATCTCCTATATATAAGGTTTGGAGAGTACGGCAACCGCTCCAGGATTTCCTTTCACTGTAACAGAGTAAGCACTCGATTTACTTCAACCTTCCAATACTTAATACAGTACTTTAATTCCATTAGGTCAGCGGTTTTCAACCCATTTTTGTATGTGTCCCCATATTGTATCAGCATGGGAATAATGTCCCCATAAGAAAATGAAAAAGCACTGACTATTGGAATTCTCCTTATTGGAGTTGAAATTCAACAACGACAATTCAGAAACTTATTTCTGAATGAAGATATCAAACATATATTTTTTGATTTTACACACGTCGTTTAGTCTCGGAATTGTTAAATCAGTGAGAAATCTGGGGGCATTTTGCTTCTTCTACCAATTGTAAAATGTCAGGCAAACACGGAAATCAGATTCAAGCTCGAGACGATTTCTACTTTTCGTTTTTATTACTGACATTGTGGAGAAGACAGTTTCACAAATGTAAGTTGTATGGAAGTATTTTACACAACGCAATCTTTGCTAGTCGTTTGACCGTGTGTAGCTACCATAAATGGCTTTGGCATTGGTATCGGCTTGCACTTGTATCAGTTCGTTTTCAACGTGATCGTCATCGCCAACAATATCTTCACCACCACCAACTTGGACATCAAACGGATTGCGCACTAGTGCGAATTGTTGAGCATTTATTTCCGGAAAATATCTGCTGAACTCAGCCTTCAACCACAGAAGATGTTCTTCACGGATTTCTTACATATCAGGGTGAGTCTTGGCAACAGAGCACAATGTCCTTTCCGCAAGGAAGAATAAATTTTTCGTCGATGTTATGAGTTTTTTTGCTTTTGCTATTCTTTAAAACACGCGAGAGGGTGCCTCCAGTAGTTTTTCGTGAACTCGGTGAACGTCATCGGTTTTCATCAGTTCATCTAAATAAGCTCCATCTTTGTCTCGCAATGTAGGGTGCTTAAGAGTAAGATGGCACTGCAAAATATTACGCTTCATCGACGATACTGCAAATACTTCTCCACAAATAACACATTGAGGATTGTCTATGCCGTGGTCGCTGATGGAAGTGAATCTACCCTCGATGTAGGTCGCCAAATATGGTCTTGGGCGACTACCAACCATTATTTCATTTACGCGACAAAAAAAAATTGTAACTGGCGTGCAAAAGTCAACATCGAAAGTGAAACTAGGGTTGGATAAGGGGCACAGTCTCGGGTAGTACGGAGGATGTGTGATTCTAAATCTTATATACAGTCTTTGCTAACATTGTCACCGAGTATATAGATTAACAACTACTTTGGCATTAAATAGAGGATTTTAAACGAATGCTTATGTCATAACTCATTTCATAAATTTCATATGCCAAAGTGGTTGTTAATCTATACAATCAGACAATATGTTATATTTAAGCTTTGTATATTATGTCGAATTTGTTTTGATTTCTAATACCCTATTTAAAGGAACATTAATCTTATACCCGGTGTAACACCTGTATTACTTACTCTACGTTTTAAACCCACCGTCTTTATATTTATGTATTTCTGATCACCGAGGCTCTATTAGCAGCTTTACATAGAAAATCGCTGTTATATTCAAAATCTAAATTTAAATGGACCGCTATAGGTTTGTAACTAGAAACATATTTTATACATTTTCATTGCCCAGTGTAGATTAAAATTCAATTCGAGGTCTCTACTTTATTTTTGACGTGAATTAGTTTCGATTTCGTACACCATTCATTTACAAACGGTAACATAATTTGCATATCATTCTCATTCTCTAGACAATCCCTAGACATAGTGTTTAAATTTCATAACGAGCCCCTTCAAACAAACACTGAATAAATTAGATTAGAAATTCGTCAGCTATGTGTCACTTTCCGCTTCTTTCATTTTATGCGATGTGCATAATTATTGCAAATTCAATAACGATTTGTATTTAGAAAAGTGACACACGTGAAACTTATAATATTTATGACTAAATGTGGCGGAAATCATATTCAAGTTGAACACAACTGAGTTTTAGGACAGTTGGTGAATCTAGGAATATCCAAGGATCATACACCTGATGAAGAACTCGAAATGAATTTCCTGATAATTTGCTGGATTTTGAGATTATTGCTGGTTAAAATTGAAGGTATGTTCTGTTATTCTAAATATTTAATCACTTGATGGAGGAAAGACTTTAAAAAACATGGAATGTGTGCCTAGATTTAAATCATGCAATTTGAATAAGTAATAGTGATACCATCTAGGAATAAGTTACATTTATGTATTTCAAAGGCTTTCTTCTTCTTTCAGGTTCAGATGGTGTTTGTGTCGATTCCACTAGTTGGATATGTGAATGCTTCAGTCCTTTAAAAACAACTCATTCGATAGAATGCTGCGGAGACAATATTATACGATTGGAAGGGACTGGTGAGACAATACTCTACGAGCAAATTAATTACACATCATGTGCCCCATCAAAAGGAGACTCTTCCTGTTTAGTCAAAGGGGAAAATAATTTTAAAGTAAATTATGAAGATAAATTAAACATCTATAACAGTTGTAGTGGAAAGAAACGATGTAATGTAACAGTAAATCCATCAAGAAATATGAAGATTCAGATTCCGGTGGCTTGTAAACCAGGTAGGTCTATGAAATTAAACATATCGCATAAACATTCAAATAGCTGCTGGTAAATGAAATGAATGGCATTTTAGGTCCCATTTTTCGCACC